TGAGCCTCTAAATTGGGTTCAGGAGCTGCACTCCATGGGAGGCCTGGAGGGCCACATTAAAATCCACGACTGTGGTCAGGTCTTGTAATATGCACCTAACACTATTAGGTTGTTATATGTACAATAAAATAAGGTATTAGCAAGTAGCTAAACTGATTAATATATCTGTGATATGCAAACCTTGTGACTCAGTCACCCCGCTGATCTTGTATACAAATGAGGTTGAGACAGCGGTGGTGGTCATGGATGTCAGTGCATCACCATCTACATTTCACCCACCGAAAAAATGTCAATATAAAATATGAAAATCGAATTTCCTCTCAACGAAAATATAGAAACTAAAAATAAAAAAATCTTGATACAAGGAAACAGTGAAGATAAACTCTTGGGAAAATGAAACTGAAATTTCATCAGTCGAAATATAAGTCTCGGAAAACAAAATTTATCCTAGGAAATGGATGTGCTCATACTACCTAATACTTTTTCAGGGTCCCAGTAAAACGTTGCCTATAAATTAGTAAAAATCCCACAGGGACAATAGAAAATAAAATCTGAGCACATTCATGTGCTGACACACATCTTCTGAGGAAGGGGAAGATAGGCAATGGAAGCAGGTATTGAATGTTAAACACTAGACGACACATCAGTCAGAAAAGGTAACATCATCTCAAACCCGTCCTGCACATACATTTGTACAGCATCAAGTCATATTTCAAATTTGAGTTCTGGTATTTATAATCTTGAGTTTTATAGTCTAAAATATTCTTCATAATCTTAAAGGGACATATGGTGTGTCGAATGTATATACCTATTCGTGACCGAATAGGTAAAACTGGTCAGTTAGCAAGAACTCACTTAAAATTATGTCCTTTCTAAATTTTTCTCTTATACGTTAAAATATACATTTTTTTCGTTTATGTCAATGTAAAAATTAATAATGTTGTATCAAAATTAAAATAATAATTATAATCAAAGAAAGCGCTAAATCAACAAGGGTCATGCAGCATTACGAGGCAGAAAATAGAGCCGGGGCTAATAAACAGCTAGGTGGAGAGGGGATCAGAGGTGAGGGGAGAAAAGGGCTACAAGGTATGCTAAGGGCTATATGTTAAACTTTGTACAGTAAAGCAGTTGCTGACAAAAAGTCAAAAAGTGATTGTAAGTCATAGGCAGGGCCGTTTACGAGAAGGGAAGATAAGGTAAAAGCAATAGAGCAGCGTCGTCGTTGGAGGTAAATCCTGCGAGTTCGTTGGTAAACCGGGCAATCCGCAAGAAGGTGAAGAACCGAAATAGGTACCCGACAAACCTTACAGAGAGGAATAGGGTGTCGTTTCATGAGATACCCATGGGCAAGGTGAGTATGGCCGATGCGGAGATGAGAGAACACAGTCTCCAGAGTAAGGTAAGAAGATGGCCACAAACCTAAAGGCTGTTTAATAGATTGCAATTTGTTATAGTGCGTGTTCGACCACACTGTTGCATGGCCACGAAGACGGCAGAGATGACTGTAAAATAATCCCTGAACGAAATATCTCTATAGGAAACCATAAGATCATGTACCGCTGACCGCGCAGCAGCATCCGCCTGTTCATTGCCCTGAACATCAACGTGTCCTGCACATCAACGTGTCCTGCACATCAACGCTTGTAAAGCACTGAGGGAATCTGAAATGATCACAAACGTCCAAGGAGACATATATGTAATACGGAGAAGCGCTATGAGGATGGCATACAACTCTGCGGTAAAAATACTAGCCGAATCTAAGAAATGATCTCGGACAACTTCGTCAGGGAACACCGCTGCCATCCCAACACCGTCCAAGATTTAGAACCATCTGTATAAACAGCGATGGCATGAGCATGCGACTGGAAGTGAGCGAGAAAAAGAGAGCGAGAAGCATTTGTAGGCAGGAGAGCTTTTGCGCGTGGAAGTAGAGGAGAACAGACACGAACCGTCGGAACTTCCCCAGGAGGAAGGGAAAAGGGAGACGCTAAATGAACATACAAGGGAGAGAACTGGAGAGAAGACCGGAGTGAAGACGAAGAGAAAACGGTCGGAGTAGGCAGGGGCGTCGAACCAATAATGGACTTCTACTAACGTCTGAGACGAACCTATACGTAGAAGGAACACGAAAGTCATGAGAGCGGACAAAGTAACGAAGGCTTTGAGCATCACGACGATCAACTAAGGAAGGAACGTTCGCGTTAGTAAAGAGGCTTTCAAGAGGGGATGAACGAAAGCACCAAGACATGAACGTAGACCCTGATGATGAAGAGGATCTAACTTAGAAAGAGTTGTAGGAGAAGCCGCAGAATAGACTTGGTCACCATAATCCAGCTTTGACAAGACTAGGGTGGAATGCAAATGGAGGAGAGTCCGGCGATATGCTCCCCCATGTACGATGAGCAAGAATTTTAAGGAGATTCAGCCGACCATGGCAAGCTGCCTTCAAAGAGGAAATGTGAGGTTTCCATGTCAACCGGCAATCGAAGAGAATGCCAAGAAACTTGACCGTATCACATTCTGGAATACGTCAGCCGTCTTAATACAATGGGATATCTGGAAGAGGACGTTTAGTGAAGGTAATGAAATGGGTTATCGTACTAGAAAATTCAAATCTATGGGAAGTG